GTGTGTGTGTGTGTGTGTGTGTGTGTGTGTGTGTGTGTGTGTGTGTGTGTTTAACTTCAAAGTTATTTTGGAAAATAACAATAGAATTGAAAGATCACTTTCTGGTTAGGGCAGAGATCCTATTTTTGGTGGCCATGAGCTGGCCATGCGCTTCAATACAGTCAATCCTGAAACATTTGCTGAGTGTCCAGGCCTCAGAAACTTAAGCTTGTGTACTAACTTAAAAATTCTCTGTGTTCACAGAATTCTTCAACTGAAACATTTTTCTGTTGACTATGACTCTACATATGTTATTAGAATGTCTCTTACTGACTTTCAACTCTCAGAAGTACTTACCATTTTACTTTTAATTCCCTCTCCCGCCCCTGCCCCAGGGAGCACCGTACAACAAAGGGCTGTTCCTCAAAGAACAGTACTCCTTGGGGCTTCATGATAGCGTCCTGGCTCTGACAGGTAATTTGTTTCACTCTTCCCTAGCAAAGAACTGTAGACTCTTCATGGTGCCTACAACCCAGGAATCTGAACATTCTCAATGATACCACCTTGTTTTCTTAAGAAAGGACTGAAAAAAAAAAAAAAAAGACACAAAAAGTTCATCACCCAATTCCTTTGTTCTTCCAGATCCATTCTGCATCCCCCAAGATTTCAGACCTTTATGGGCTAAGACACCCAGGTTCCCTTGACCTCTGAGTTTGGAAGCAAGATCAGGAGGTACCACCAGGAGGTCGGAGGGTTGAAGAACTTCTCCACCCCTTTGGGCCTGAGGTGCTTCACCATCCCCTCGTGGTTCCCTCAACCCTGTCAGAATCTCTGCACTTTGCCTCTTTATTAAACAGTCTTCAGCTAAACCCTAAGACTTGGCCTTCCTCCAGTGGCTCTAAAGATAGTCTATTTATTTATTTATTTTTTCCAAATTTATTCCAAACAGATACCAAGCAAAATTTCATCTTTATTAATATAGGTTACATACATTTTTTTTTTAAAAAGAGAGAACATAAAAACAATCATATAAGGACAGACCAATAATAATAGTAATGATAGTCATATTAAATCAGAGGTATTTTAATATTTGATTGAATAAACTAGTAAATCTCCACTGAGTTGGATAAAATACAGTAACTAAATTAATAAAATCAATGCTAAAAAATAAAATCAAAGCTAGCTTATACTTACATTATGTTATTTGATGCAAATTATTCTATGCCATTTGGAAATAGTTTGCTCTTTTACACAGGCAAAGCATTTGCCTTGGAACTTTTCACTTTTCTTGTTTGTGTAAAAGGCCAACATTGCTTCATAAGAAAAAAATAATACACTTCAACTTAGCTTTCAAATATTTTGTGACATCCATGAGGATTTTCTGTACTTGATACTAATTAGGGAGTTAAAAAATGCTTTTAAAATGATCTACCTCTTAAAAAAAGTGAATGGAAAATACAGAATCATTTTCCTAGATTTCAAAGTCTACTTCATTTTCTTCTGTTATTTCTCATCAAACTGGCATAATGGCTTCTTTTTTAAAAAATTAGACTTAATTTATCGAACACATTTGTAAATAAATCATGTCCAATCAATACAGACTGGTTGTTTTTAAAAAGATGTTTCCTGTAGTGTATTATGTTTTCATCTCAAGTTATAACCACAGGAAGCAGTAACCCAAATGTTCAAAGTTTACTGACAATCCTCGCTTGTATGAAACTTGTGTGGTGACATCTCACTAAAAAAACTTCTTACAGAAGGACATATTTATTTATTATACACATACACACTCTGCATTGGTCTACTTTGTTTTTCTTGATGGCCGGTCTCAGTCTTTCTCAACTCTGTATGCCCAGCACCCATACCTGTGCCCAGAGCACAAAATGTGTTTCATGTTTGCTCCATGAGTGTTTCCATTCCAGAATGCTCCTTGGGGTATAACTGCTGGAAGTGAGTGGGCCTTCTTTCTCGTTCTTAAAATGGGCAGAGAGGTCTTTTATATCCATTATCTCCTGGGATAGCATGACCTACTTTGCCAATTTCTTTTTGTGTGTGTCTGTGTGTTCCAAAAAAACTTTATTTACAAAAACAGGCAGCAGAATGGATTTGGCCTTCCATTGACAGTGTGCCAACTCCTCTGACTTAAAACAATGAACATCTTTTACCTCACACTGTTTCCGTAGGTCAGGAATCTGGGCATATCTTAGTCCTGGCTCTCATGAGGTTGTAGTCCACTTGTGGCAGTGGTCATCTGAAGTCTTGACCAAAGCTGCTTCCAAGATTACTTTGCCAATTTCTAATAAACAAGAGAGTTCACAGCCACCCCTTGAGGGAACCTCAGGAGGACAGAGCAACCGTGGTGGTTCCAGTGCTGACCTCTGGGAGGCTCAGCTGGAGGCTTTTCTGGCCAGTCTGTGTCTGAAAGGGCCCTGCTTTTATCTATTGCTTGGAGTCCCCCATCTCGGGGCAGGTTACTTTGAAAGCCAACCTAAGGTCACTTGTGGGACCTATGCTCATTCTCAATTTATAGACACAGAGTATAAAACATCAAAAATGCTACCCCTATCATCTGTTCCCATAATTTAAAGAATTCAAACCTTGATACGTTTACAGTGACAAAGAGTAGAACTTTTTCTACACACAGATAGTACTAAGTCTTATCCCTTAATAACTTAAACATTGTTGTTGAACAATTTCAAAATACACTTATTTGCAAAAGCTGTGTAAGTCCAAACAACAGATTCCCTCCCTATTGGCGAACATCTTCAGATGCTCCGGGTTAAACTCCACCAACTGGAATGTTTCTTTCCTTAATCTCTGGTGGAAAAAAGGGAGGGTTCCAAAGTGCCTATTCTATACTGCACTGCAAATGATATAAGTGTGTGTATACACACCTATATATGCACAAATGCACATACATAGTAAGTCACCTATGTGTATCAGAATATGACATTCAGTTATTACTGTAGCACTGGAGAAACACTCTTGGAATGACACTGTTTTCGATGTTTGCTATCTTTTCCTATAAACTAACAAATAGATATGATCAATGGCTCTCATAAGAAAGAGGCATGCGAATCATAGATTTGTTGTTTTTGATCGTAAATACTTTTTTGGTGGGGACTAATAGAACCCTCAGGCTATTCGCTTTTTTAACCTCTTCTTTTTAACTCATCAGCAGTCCCTTTCCCTAAGTTAAGAGCTTTTTGTATATGCTGTTATTCAGGTGACTTGAGCAGGTATCCATTTTGCTGGCCATCAGCTGACCGCTGCTGTTGTAGCTGCTGGGATCAGAACTTTCCTTGCAGCATAAGATGCTGCAGAGGTACCTCTGGCATTCGGAAGAGGCATAATAGTAAATCAAGGGATCAATGCAACAGCTGATGCTGCTGACACATACACAGAGGAGGTAGGCAAAGTAGGCAGCCTCTGTCATGGACTCCTGAGAAATGAAGGAGTAATGCAGAATCAGGAGGATGTTTGTGGGACCAAAGCAGAGGAGGAAGATGCAGAAAACAGCAAGCGAAAGGAACAAAGCCCGGGACTTCTTGCTCCGGTTGGCGACCGCGGAGGAGCTAAGACATCGAATGATAGACACGTAACAGATGGTGGAAACGATCAGGGGCACAAAGAAGAAGACAGCAGAGAAGGCTAAGAAGTAATAGGCATAGTAGCCTTTGAGGAGGGTTACACTGAGCACGTCATGGCAGGTGGTGACGTTGAGCCCCGGCACCTGGGTGGTTTGCTCCTTGAGAAGGAGAGGCACCACCCCCGCAATGGCCAGAGCCCAGATGGCCAGACAAGTGAAGGAAGCCCTCCCCAGGGTACGCCAGGAGAGGGACTGGATGGGGTACACCACGGCCAAAAACCGGTCAATGCTTATGACTGTCATGAGCATGATGGAGGCGTACATGTTACAGTAAAAGGCTGCGGTGACAAAGCGACACATTTCGGAACCAAATCTCCAATCACTGCCGGAAAAGTAATAGCTGATCTTGAACGGGAGCACTGACACAAAGAGCACGTCTGCCGTGGCCAGATGCAGCATGTATACCACAGCGGGCTTCTTGACCTTCATCTTCAAGATAAACACAACAACGGCCATGATATTCAGAGGAAGGCTTATGACAAACACGCCAGTGTAGACAGAGGGGATAAAAAGTGTCATCCAGGTGCTGGTAAGATACCCTGAGGCATCTTCTGAGATAAATACAGGGTGCAGTTTTTGAAGGGGATGGCTTATATTGATGGGGCTTAGTCTGTCTTCGGGGAACCTGCTCCTGTTTTTCTCCTCATCGCCATCCAGTGGGAATGGTTCAAATATATCATTCTTGATCTTGAGAAAAAATGACCGGGGATCCACAGTAGCATTGGTTGCTTTTGACTCTTAAAAAACAAAACAAAACAAAACAAAACAAATTAAAAAGTCAAAAAGACAAAGAGAATACATTTTACTTTTATTTTTTTGTGCTCTTACTAGGAGAGGGGGTGGTAAAGAGCAAGCAATGCACAAATGGATTACAGACCTTATTAGGGAATAAGCTCACTTGAAATACTGTATAGCATTTTTTGTTGGCACAAGCAAACACTTAAAATTCTGCTCCTTAGAAGGATTGAGGCAAATGACACACTTTCAGAGATACACCCTTAAGACATCAGAAAAGTCTGAGTGCCTGACATAAAGGAAAAAAGTGGTGACTTCTTTTCCATACTAGCTACCATCTCTATAAACAAATGCCTCCCAGGCTCTATGACTTCACTTTCCTCTACTCTACTTTTCCTCCAGGCCTTCATTTCCTCCATTTAGTTTGCAGACACCCCTGGAAGCCCGGAGTTCCCATGGAAACATCTATATAGAAAGGTGAGGGGACTTCTTAAATTATAGAGCTGAGCTAGAGGCAAATTCCGAGTAGGATGGAGGGCTCCCATTTCCATGGCCATCGTCCGAATGACAGTAGTCTTCCTCTACCATCTTTGGTTGACACCATAGGATGTTCCAAACCTCTCACCACATTTGGACCCAAACAACAGTTTCTTGGCTTATCTTTTAACATAACCACAAGGTGCACACCTCCTCAGTCATCTTCCTGTCTCCTTCCTGAGCAGGCCTGTGGAGGAGCAGGTGTTCTAGGCTGATGGCCTTCCTCAGCTCAGTTCCAGAAGGCTACAGGCATCAAGGCAGATACTAGGCCAATCAGGCTTTCTTGAGTGTCAACCAGAGGTCAAAATAAAGGCTCAGTTGCAAGCTTCCTCCTTTTATCACCCTCTTCCACCAAAAGCATCCACTTAAAACGTTCATCAGAGAAAGGCAACACTTAGCTGCTGTAATCCAACTGGCTTTTTCCTTCTGAGGAGCTTTTGGTCAAATTCTGACAGTGAGGAGAGTTGGACAAAGAACTTTGGTGGGTCCTGGGAAGCTGAGGACCAGGGAGAGAAATCACAGGGGAAGAAGGGTGAAGACTCCATCACTGGGAGTGTCCACAACAAACACTGGACGTGCAGGTCACTTAGAAGTGATGTTAGAGGATTTAAAATCTGGCTAGAAAGTGAATAAGCACAGTGGATTTTCAAACTTTTGGTCTTATTTTTTAGTGATGGACCCTTTGTGCAAATAAAAGCTTACACAGAGAGGCATAATGAATAAGAGATAGTTCTAGTTCTGGAATGTCTCTGTAAGGTCACTGGACCCAACATCCCTTAGATGAAAATTAAAAACCCTTGACCTCCTTCCTCCCCCAAATCAATGACCTGACAGCATTTAGGTTCCTAAGGTGGTACAGAGGAGAGGAGAAATGAATCTTGAAAGAAAGGTGCCTGGTGACTTTCTTGTTTTCTTGACTTTCATGGTTATCTTAAAAGGAAGCCAAAGTTCAATGCCACAAAGGATGGCTAAAACCCAGATAGAAACCCACACTTTCTGGCCTAAAGAACCAGAGGTCAGAATCTAGGGCAAATGTAGTCACTGGAAAGTGAGGAGAGAACCCCAGAAAGGAAAAAAGTCAGAGAAGGGAGCCAGTCCCAAATTACAATGTGAATTTGCCCCAGGATTTGTCTGATTCTGGAACCACGCAAATGTAAAGAATGATGTGAAGCAGTTCTGCTAAAGACAGAAGAACCGAAGTGATATTTTTGCTCAAGATGGAGACTTTCCACTTTGAGTCCAATAAAATTAATTGCCTGCTAAAGCAAAACCGCCAAAATCCTTTGGAGAAATAAAACAAAATCCCGATTCTTTACAGTATGGCAATGTCCAGGGTGCAATTCCAAATCATTTGATACAAAAAGAAACAGAAAAATGTGACCCAGTGTCAAGAAAAAAAGATAATCAGTGGAAACCAATCCCAAGAAGACCCAGATGCTGGATTTAGCAGATAAGGACTCTGAAGGATGTGCTGCAATGAAATAAAGGGAAATATCTTACTGAAATGGATTAAAAAAAAAAAATAGAAGCTATCAGCAAAGAAACCAAGCAATGGAAATTCTAGAACTAGAAAGTAAAATACAACAAAATGGCATCTATTTCCAAAATAAGGAGCAAAGCTAGAGTAGAAAAGGGCCTAGTGGTGAAAGATGGAGGTCATGGCTGGGCTCCTGTAGGTGAAGGGGTGGTCTCTGACCCTGTGACAGTACATCTGTCACATGGAAGGTCAAATGTATCCAGTGATGCACTTCTGAGAAAATAGGTATGACTGGATTATTCCTCAAGGGTAAGAAACCATTCCTGTTACTCTGAATCTCCAGTGCCCTGCACATGGTAGGTGGTCTTTAAACTGGCTTTTAATCACAGATTTGCATTCTAATATTGGCTCTGCCAGGAGTCACTTAACCCCTCTGAACTCAGTGTTGGAATCATTAAAGTGCAATTCCAATACCTGTCTGACCTACAAATCTGGCAGCCACGTGTATCCCTTGTGAACCAGGACATGTGCTTACTTCGTAAACTACACAAATTAATGTAAGAAATTAATTGTACCCTCCTCTTTTCACTTCAGTGCAACTTGCTTTTAGACTTAATTATTCGCTTACTTTATTTTAATTTTAAACTTAATTTAAATCTTATTTTAAATTAAAATGGAATCTATGCTCTTCTTCCCTCATATTTAGCAATATTTAGTTTTTCAGTATCATGAGGAACATAAACACACTGTAAAGTAGAGAGCCCCAGCATTCAAAGCTGTAGATCAAATTTTAAATTCACAGCCTTTTCCAGAAGTATCCCTTTCTTCCCTCTGTTATGCACCTAACTTACTCAGAAAAGAATGAATGGGTTCTGGCATTTTATTTTATTTCATTTTAAAAAATGATTTTATTTATTTGAGTAAGAGAAAGCCTGAGCAGGCCAAGGAGAAGAGAAGCAGGCTTCCTACTGAGCGGGGAGCCTGACACAGGGCTCAACCCCAGGACACTGGGATCATGACCTGAGCCATAGGCAGACGCTTAACGACTGAGCTACCCAGGCGACCCAGGTTCCAGCATTTTAATACCACAAAGATTAAGTGTCCTTAAAAATGCTAATTCAGAAGAACCTGAAGATAACACAATTTTCTTCTGCACTTTGGGAACCTGGCTAGATTAAGGACTTCTGTCATGCAAGGAGGGTAAAAGTACACATAGCGCACCCACAGACATGTTTGAATCCAGGCATTACCTAGAGGAACACTAAAATTTAAAAAGTACTGAAAACTCATAACTGAGCTTCTTAGATACTATCACTTTGTCCAAAAATAAAACTGTCATTGGATTTTACTCTATATTTAGTACTCTGGCCTTAAGTATTTGTTTTAAAACATTTCTTCACTGGCTAGACCTTTTTAGGCAGGCAGTACGGTGTTTATAACAGAAACATTATATCCACTGAAACGTGAAATTTTTAGAGGCTAGAACCCAGGGAGAATGCATAATCCCTTGATTAAATATCATTAGCTAGGGTGTCACCTTTTCTTGTTCCTATAGGCTTTTGTGGAATTAAAAAAGGTCAGCAAAAAAAAAATTTTTTTTTAAATTTGAGTATACACTACCATCAAAGAAATCAACAAAACCAATTCCAAGCAATTAGACATATCCAACTAGCTCAAGCCCCTTAGGCTGCAATTTGGGTTTGTGTATCTCCCTTTTCCTCCCGTCCTGGCACAGCTCAGAGGTCAAGGAGAAAGTGCCTGCGAGTGTGCCAAAAGCTCTTGTAATTCATCTGCTGTTGTTATTAAGCTATGGTTTCCCGTACAAAAAAAGCAGCTCAGGTCCTAAAATCAGTTCTCATGCTTCTTGCTAAGTTTTACTCAATTTAGTTTTCTCTTAAATGGCTCTAAAGTAGTTCTGTGATTCAATAAGGCAAATTGCTAAGTGCTTCAATATAGACTAACTCCGGAGAATTTTAAAAATTAGAAAGTCAGGCAAGGCTTCTTCTGTCTTTGAAGAGATTTGGCTTGGAAGCAGAGCGGTGACTAGATGTGCATTATCAAGGTCCCATGTGATGCTGGGATTTATACCATGCCAGCCTCCCCCAAAGCACCGGCCTTGGTTCTGGCTCTGAGTTCTGCCCCACAGGGCTCACGAATTAACAAAGCAGAAGTCCCAGAACCTTGCCCACATTCCCACATAGCGCAGAACAGCTGTACCCTGCACTTCCCCACAAGGGTATCCACACTACATGCTAAAGAGAAATAAAGAAGAGAATGATGGAAAATTAATAGAAACATAGTAATTCCATCAAACGGAAAACAATAGTATTACTGCAACACTCCACTGCCTCAAGGGCATAGGCACACCATTTTCTAATGCAAAGATGGAGTATATCAGAAGGAAACTGTTGGTTCTGGATCTGGGGTAGGAAATCTACAAGATGAGCCTTGAACATCTCTAAAGAATATTAGGGTCAGGTCAGAAAGACTCTGGAGCTAATCTGAAGGGGGGGGGCTGGCCAAGGTGTGACACTGATTCAAGAGAATAAGGACAAAAGTGAATTGAAACATTTGAAACATGTCATATATGTTAAGATCCATGAGTTCATAATGATACTCAAAGGAAAATGATGCATCATTTTTGGTCACCTTTAGAGGGAATTAGGGGGCCCTATATAAAAATTGGTAAGTAAAAGCAAGATTCAAGCACTTATTCTGCCTTTTCTACATAAATGATATTTTAGGGCAACAACAGTTAATGACAGAAAGTTTTCTTTATACAATAATTCCAGCTCCTATGGGGTGCTGGGTGGCTCAGTTGGTTAAGCGCCTGCCTTCAGCTCGGGTCGTGATCCCAGGGTTCTGGGATCAAGTTCCACATCAGGCTCTCTGTTCAGTGGAGAGCCTGCTTCTCCCACTCCTTCAGACTGCTGCTCTGCCTACTTCTGCTCTTTAATCTGTCAAATAAATCAAATCTTAAAAAAGAAT